GACCTTTTTTGTATCTGTTATGTGTTATCATTTGTATTACTATATTTTCATATGACAAAAACTAGTAAAATGAGAAAAAAAGTAATCACATGTTCTGATTGTCCAAGAATACCATTCGAATGCAATGAAAGAATCTTCATCATCAGATCTCTACAGAGTAAATATTGTCACTATTATTAATATAAGTTTTCTAAGTTTTTCATTAATGTAGAAATAATCTTTCAATGAAGCAATCACATATTATGAAGACGTTTGGTATTCGCTAGATTTTTTACTTTCTTCAATTTAAAATTTTCTCTTTCCGTTTTTTTCTTTTCTTGGCTTGCATTTGTGTGCTGTAATAGATAAACGGAAGACGATAGATAAGCAGATTAGATAAAAGAAAGTTTCAAACATTATCACAATATGTACATACTTTCAAAAAAAAGATATTGTAGCGATGATGAAAAAACTTATTTTGATGATAATGACATAAAACTAATTCTATAAAAAGCTTTGGATGACGATGCGATTAGTGTATTTGATTCAGTCTCAATCACATAAATTCAAAATAAAACAAAATGTAAATGTTAATAGGAAGCTTTAAATATTTGTATAAGATGCAATTGTATTTTTTAAATCTATTTCGATGTTGAAAGTTAAGTTAATATCAGGACCACAACTATTTTTTTTTTTTTTTTTTTTTTTTTTTTTATTGGCAATCAACACTCCCTACGACCATGGCGGTCCTAAAGGGACAGTGTATCTTTGAAAATGCGTGTATCCGAAGGAGAAGCAAAACTTCATAGAAAGATAATAGAGAGACCTAAAAAGCAACCAATGTTGCGAACAGAATCGATAGCTACTGAAGCACATGACAAGAGCAAAACACGATAAAATGAAAGAAAAACAAAAAAAACACGATAAAACGAAAGAAAAACAAAAAAAAAACGAAAAAAGAGAAAGCTGCTTGCGCACTCTGCCCATAGCATGATGAGCATTTTTTTCTTGTTTTGTCGCCCACCCTGATAAATTAATCACGAATAGGAGCCGTTGTCGGCGATTCATTAAGCTTGCGAAGTATGTTATTCAACTGCTTATTTTGTTCGTTCAAGTTATGGTCAACGAGATGTTTTAGTTCAAGAACTGTTCTTTTCTTGTCTTTTTCTATATCCCTGCGACTATCCACCTGTTGACTGACGGTAGATATCCATGGTGAGTTTTCAAATACTTTCTTGCGTAGCCAAGGTGCAACCATCTTTTTCCCGACTTTGATCAGGACCACGAGTACCGCCCCTAAACCCAACGAGAGTAACAAGAATTCTCGCCACGAACGATGTGGTCGAGGTGCTCCAACCATGTGGCTTTCTAGTTCTTTAGTTTTTTCAATCACTTCTTTTACATGTGATGAGTTCGCATAGTTATTGACAATCAGGTTGAATTTGTTTTCGAACATCTTCAATTTATTGTTATGATTTACGATTGTGTTGATTAATCCTTGATTTTTATTCTCGTTTTGGAGATGATCCTCTTTTTCTGAGGTTGACTCCTCTTGTTGCTGTTGGTTTTTTAATGCAGCTTGCAATGCACGTTCTACTAACTGATGATACGTCGGCCTAGGTGTTGGATCGTTCGCTGCTATTAACGTGATGTACATGTACCAGAAAACGAATAATCGAATATAATAAGCCATTATTATATATAATAACAGGTGCAACTGAGAAAGACGGTATCTATTCGATGTTTTTTTATACTAAGTGGCTTGAAGAGAGCAGACAAAAAAAGGAACAGTAAGACGAAAAGGGGGAACGAACGACCGAATAATTGTGCAGATAGCCGATATCAATGTGTTAAGTATTATGTATAACATTCTTTTCATATCTGAATCTCCCGTTCCTTCTTTTCTTTTTTTTTTTTTTTTTTTTTTTTTTTCTCATTTCTCCCTCTCTCCATATTTTCTCTGTTCTTATTCTTTTCTCTCTCTTCTTCCCTCCCTCTTCTCTCCTCTTCTTTTTTTGTCATCGTGACCTTCACGCCACTTTCATTGAGGTTCATCGCCTAGAAACTCTCCGGAAAAAGAGCAAAACAAGCCAGATCTTCCTCGTTCAGCTCTGCTACTGAGTCTGTTGTTCCATGAATCTCCATCCATCGTAGCGCTTGCTCCAATACCGATACATGAGACACGAATCTTTTTGATCTGTATAGGCAGTGAATTCGACTTGCCCCTTCTACCCAATTCGATCTCTGGACATTCAGTTCAGATTGTTCTAACAGTAGATACCCATCCACAGATTTTGACAGCTTCTTGAGGTACTTTTCCCAGTATGAAAAGCACAGATCGTCTAGTGTTCTCTCATTATATATCGATGAAAAAAATAAATCATCCCAGACTTGACATCGATAGATTCTTTTCAACAATGTAAAGTACAAATGGTTGAGTTCCATCCTCTGAGTATCTGTGAATAGTGGATATATCCCAAATAGCCAGGTGAAGTGCGGTAATACAAAGGTCGAAAAAAGATCTCGTCGTAGTTGCATCGAGGACATGCCACTTAGTCTAAATGACTTAATCAATGCTGTACGTTGCCGCACTTTCAGCCGAGTCATTCCAATGATGTTTCCCCATCCCATCTTTGTCGTTAACCAATATCCGAGATACTTAAACGAGGAGATCCATTCTATCGATTGATCACCACATCGGAGCTGTGGCATTGGGTTCGGGTAGCCGATGGCTCGCGCTGAGAACATTGCTTGGGTTTTTGAGTAATTTATTGGTTGTACCGCTAGAATCGAGTAGAATTCGAGTTGTTCCAGGAGCGTTTGTAACCGGCGTTCGAGATCTATACATTGATCTGTATATTTGATACCTATTCGACCCGCTAGTACAGCGGCCAGATCGTCCGCAAAGAAAAACGACATTGCCTTCGGAATGAAATCGGCCATATCGCTGTGGTATGAGATGAACAGTGTAGGCGTGAAACTGGAACCTTGAGGACCACCTCGTTCTATTGAAATCCATTTTGATCTTTTTCCTTGGACCTCAATGACTGCTCGTCGATCACTTAGCCAAGCTCGGATCCAGTTGACGTATGCACGTGGAATACCCATTCTGGCCAGTTTACCAAGACAGCCCTCGAACCATAATTGATCAAATGCTGATTTAAAGTCTACAAAAACCGTTGCAACTGGAGTACTATTCGACATATATGACGAAATTTGCTCGATGAGTAATAGTACCCGTGTTTGTAATCTATGCTCAGCACGAAACCCCGATTGATTGTCCGGGAGGATACCGCGGTCCTTCAAAACTTGAACAAATCGATTCGAGAAGAGTTTTTCTTGTATTTTCAAAAACGAATCTAGTAGCGAAATTGGTCTTGTCTGGTCCGGTGCACATATAGCATTTTTCTTAGCCAGTAATATCATTCTCACCTCTTTAAATTTCTTTAGTATATAGCCTTTGGTAAACGAATAATTATATACCTGTACGAAATGGTGCCAGTAATTTCTAGGTATTTTATCCAACATATATGGCGAGAGACCATGAATATCTTGTGATTGTTTCTTCTTTCTAGTTCGTAGAACACCTAGTATTTCGGGATAGCTCACCAGCGGAATCGGATCTGACACATTATCCCACAGCACCTGAGGCGCATCGATATATGGGTGTGGACGTACCACCACCGGAGCTTCGAATAGTTTTTCATAGTGTTCAGCAGCGATGTTTGCCATTAATTGTGCATCTTTTATTATTTCCCCGTTCAATAGCTTGAAACCCCTCAACGAGGAAGAGACAGGCTTGAATTGTCTCTTAACTTTACTCCAAAATAAGGTAGAGTTTTCAGCTGGCGCATGTCTTTCTTTTAATAGTTTGGCTAAATTGTTCTGTTGAAAGAGTTTTAATTCGAAGCGTGCCAGGTTTCGTAAACGACGGGCTTCTTGTCGAAGTACCAAATCTCCTTTTCGTTTTGCTTTGAAAGATAATGACCGACTTTGCGCAAGGAGCTTCATGAGGTCAGGTGGAACAGAGGGACGAGCAAGTTTAAGAGGAAAATATTGTTTGCATCTGGCTGCCAGAAGTGTCAGAAACGATATGAACTTTTCATATATGGCATCGTATGGTCCGTCTGTCCATTCTTTTTCCCAAAAGTCTGACGTGTACGACAGCACTACCGAGAAGACCGACCACCTTGTTCGCGACCCTTCACAGGCTCCCGCATTATCACATGCTAGCACACCGAATAAGGGCTTGTGATCACTCGATGTGTTCCCTTCGTTCGTTTGAATTGTAAGATCTACACCAACAGCTGCGACATAATCGATTGTGCGCTCCGAACGAAGCGATGTATTTGAGTCCGGAACAATAGGTCCCAGTGAACATGAATCCATCCATTCTAATAGTTTGTTGGCTTTTTCGCCGTCTTTCTCGATGTCGATATTAAAGTCTCCCGTAATCATGCAGTGGTTGGTGACGAGTGGAGACATATCCGACCAGTCCCATGTTTTACTTGCCGGTGCGTATATTCCAATTAGTCGAATCGTTTGTTCCAAGAGCAGATCGATCGTACATACATTTGGTAGTGAGCAGGGAACTCTTTTGGCCGGTATGGTGTTGCGTATCATAACTAGCACCCCTCCATGTGCGTTTTCTCCACTTTGATAGAAGAATCGATAGTTCGCAAAGGCGGCTTCCATCAGAGAGAAGTCTACGTGTCCAACTTCTCCCAAAACTATAATATCAGAATGATGTGTTCTTACCAGCAGACAGACTTCGCCCCATCGTAAATCCAGACCACGAACATTAAAGCAAAGCATATGTAGATAGTTATAAGACTGATGTGCGGATGATTTTTGGAAGGGTTTCCATTTCGAAGCAAGATGAGTTAATGAAGAAGCAGAGTGCCAATCTAAGAGCACATCTGTGAGTAGAGAAAAATCTTTTGGCGAGAGCGTATTACGAGCTGTATCAAGAAGCCGAGTAGAGTTAACATCAAAGCTGCGATTAACCGTTATCGGATTGATCATTCTGTAGACATTGAGAGGGACGATCTGCATTCTGCCAGTGTTTGGATTTGTTCCTGCCAATACGATTGCCAATTTACGCCTTGTGCACCACGTGGATCCGACATTGACGTACATATATTCTGCATTATTGTGTACACTCGTGTGGAGAGATCCTCGAATTTCTTTTCCATTGTTTTCATCTTGTTTTCTAGAATATCAACTTGTTTTCTTGTTTCCTCATAACGAATATTCATTTCGTCTTTGAGCTCCCCAATAGATCGACGAGTTGCTTTAAATTCTTCTTCCACTTTTGCTAGGATGTTATCGAGTTTCTTACCAATTAAATCGTTCATGTTCGACGGCCCTCCTTGAGCGACAGTAGAATAAGGCAGACGACCTGATGTAGAGCCGAGCAGTTGATCATTTAACTGTGCTCGCTGGGAGCTTACATCTTCCACCGTTGCTGGTACCACCTTAGCCAAGAGATTACGTGTGAGCGCAGCTCGATAGTCTTTCACGACTTTGCATTTTGAATCATTAGAAATATGGGGTCCCCCACAGTGTATACATTTTAAAATCCCCGAACATTGGTGCTCTTTCAGGTTTAAGCATTTTTCGCCACAGGTCTTGCACGTGGATTCATCTTTCTGCGGGCAGTTCTTTCTGAAATGACCTATTCCAAAGCAGTTGGAACAGATTAAGACGTTCGCTTGAGCAAAATATTCCACCACCTTGTATTTCATGTGCATGATACCGATTTCACCTGCTTCTAATATCTCACTACGTGCTTTAGATGATAAAAACTCCAGTTTCACTGCGCGCACCGGTTGCTGTGCTTTATTTTTCAGACGAATAATATTTTCTACGCCTGGATAATTGTCTTTCATCCCCTGCACGAAATCGTCCCAATCCACTTGTAGCGATACAGCCGGTAGGACTAGGGCCAGTTGTGGAGGAATCGAAGGACTTTTTGTTCTGAATTGACAACCTGCTAGTTCTGTGGGCCAGTTACTACGATCGTACAAGCACGCAAATGATTCACTATTCTCTACGAATATCAGAATGCGACATTCGTCTTTTTCCGCTCTTCCACGTCGATATGCCACGGTTTTTAGTTCGATGTTCAGATGAGTAAGTGTATGTTTGATCAGATCGTCAACGACTGATTTTTCACGAACTTCTTGTGAGAAAATAACAGTGAAGGGTGCGAAAGGAAAGCGAGTTGTAGCGAAACGACAGGCCGCAACTGATGGCTGTTGCAGATTATTATTCCGTTCCTCCCTGTCCCTTGTTCCTTGAGGATTTCGATTGAGTTGTGTTGGTTGATTTTGAGTACGACGATCGAAGTAAGCGCCATCAACACCTTGCTGATTGAATCCACGAATCCGTTTATTGGGGGTATTATTATTCGGATTAAACGCAAGAGTCGGCTGATGGTGTTGAGGATGAAATTGAATATTGGAGTCCGATAGACCACTAGTATCGTTGCGACCTCTCTTATTAGGCGCTGATATTGGTGTTGAAGATACTGTTGGGTTAATCATTGATGAGTAACGCGGTGCTGTTACATTGGCATCAGGTTGTTGTACTGATAATACCGGTTGTTGTTGATTCATGTTGGAATGTATCATTGACTGTTGCATCAGTGGTGGAGGAATACTTGTGAAAGACGATCCTGGTTGTTGTTGATTATGTTGAGCTGCTGAAACAGCTGATGAGTATTGATTAACTGTGTAATTGTGAGGCAATTGTTGCGTATATACGTATGGCTGTTGGCTATTTAACGGATTGTAGTTAACTGGTGCATTATAATAGACAATTTGCTGTTCCTGCGATATCTCGTTGTTTGAAGCTAGTGATACATTATTCATCACTGAATATATTCGAGAGTTTTCTTCGGGCAAAAGAACTGGTAGCTGAGGATCGACCAGATTATTGTTTTGTCTACTAAGAGACGTCATTTACGACAACAATCAACGAGTTTTAGTCTTTGATTATTGTGTAAACGAGCCAAGAAAAGAGAAAATAACGAACACAAAAGCGATAAGAGCGAGCACGTCTAACCACTACGAGAGCGAAGATGGGAGTGACCACAACTATTTTTATCTCGGACATATGTAATTGAAAGAAAAAACACACACAACTAAGTAGAAAGAAGAAGATTATTTCGAATTATTTATCTCTTTTAGTAGAATGTAGAACTTGAGAAAAATAACATTTTTTTTTTGTGATAATTAATAAGAACTTTGAATCACAGAGAAAATTGTTAGAAAGGTGTCGTTGAGTTTTCGTTTTTTCATGCCTTTCTAAATGTTCTCACATAATTCATCAACATATTATCTGATTCTTAATAAATATAAATTAGAAAATTTTTAGATTTATTTTTGCTCCTGAAATGAGCAAAAAGATTAAATTTTTATTTGCGAAATCGTACAAAATTTTTCACTGAAAGGAAATGAGTTTTCATTTATCAAAAAGAAAACAATTCGTTTTCCTTCATAGACAACTTCATGTGCATATTTAAAAAACTATTCGTCGAAGTCTAACTTGTATCGACATACATTGATTTTTTTCATGAAACTTTTTTTCGTTCTCGAATAAAACTCATGAAATATTCGACGTAATCAAATTCGATCACAACTTATATCATTATTTAGTCATGATTATTAAACAAGATTAGATTTGAATTATTTACGAAGAGAATTGAGTGAATCACCTAAACTTGTTCCTTATAAACATTCATATGAATTTATTTCAGACTGAGATATACACAGAATAAAGTCCATTATTTCAGTGATTTTCTTTCAAGAGAAATGGCAACAGACGATGAATCAAATTTATGCTCAATTTGCAATAAACCTTCCGCTAGATCATTTTGTATTGGATGTAAGAAGTACTTTTGTAGAAAAGATTTTCAAGAACATGAGCAACATTTATCGATTACATTTGATAATGAAATAGTCAGATCTCATGATGAGCTTCTTGATCTACTACAGAAATTAGAAAAATCAAATTATTTGTCATTACATGTTTTTGCTAAAATTGAACAATGGAAGGAGACAACAATCAATAAAGTGGAAAAAGCAGCAGAAAAGGTTCGACATGAATTTATTCAAATTGATAGAAGATCAAAAAATTACAATAATAAAACAACTTGAACCAATTACTAAAGAAATTCGTTCTCTTCGAGAAGAAAATGTTATTGAAACTGATATTGATCGACTTGGAAAAAAAATCAATGAGATGCGACAAAAATTGAAAGAATTTACTCAAAAGGATGCAAATGAAAGCATCATTGTTAGCGATGAGCAAATTGATTGGAGTCGACTCATTTATATCAGACAAGAACGACAACAAAAATGTAAGTGTTTTGAACTGAATAAATAGAGAAAAGGAGACTCTTGAAATAATCTGTCAAATACTTTTATTTCATTAATCGGTCTTAACTAATTCATCCATCCATTAGAGTTATTTCAAACGACATATTGTCTTCGAGTATATTGAATTAGATATACTTTGCAGTTTATCATTTTTTATAAACTGAACAAATTACCTTGAGAAATAACATATATTCAGTCCTTTGGAATTTCATGTCGAATTGCAAATGAAGAGCCAGATCGATAAGTGTTGAATACTATTTAATGAAGACTTTCAGTAGTTAAATTAGACAAAGTCAAGATTATTTTTCCTTCCAAAAAATGATGAAGAAACTTTCTCTCAATAACAATAGTTAGAAATTGAAAGTTGCATATTCTTCATTTGTAATTGAAATTCGGTGAAAAGTAAAAAAATACGTTATTTGTAGAGTTAATCGTAAACTTTGTTTTGTTCGAATGACTTCACTAGTCTTGAAGTTTTTGGAAATAAATTATTGTATCAAGTATTTCACAGCCTTTATGGCTTTTAAAAATCTTTGAATGATCACAAAAACTTGATTAGGATTTTCTGAGTTACTTTGTTACATTCAAATATTTTCCTGATTAATTTTATGAGAACCAAATCAGATGAAATATCATCAAATATTCCTTCAAGTATTGATTGTTTGTTTGTTTCTCAAGGAGAATTGCGTATTTCATCATCATAATCACATGAATAGTTCTACATATTTGAATTTCATTTGCATGAAAATATTCCCCATTTTCAATCAATCTTTCTTTTTTTTGAAAAATAGTTCAAAAGAAAAGTTGCATTGAACTTATTTGATAAAACAAGGGTCTGGAATATGGAAGAAACGATAGACTCTTGTGGATTCTTGAAACTTTTATAATCACATATGATATTTTCAAAATTCATATTTAATCTATATAGTTCTTACTCCAGCCATGTAAAACTCATAGAATTGAATGCCAAAGCTTCAGTGCTCTATTACATGGTTAGAGAAGTTGCATTAAACTATTGAGAGACGTAGATACTTGCTCGTATCATATTACTTTTTTATTCATGAAGTTCAAGAAAGTCATGCAAATAACAGAAAGATTTCATTATAATATGATCATTAAAACGAATACTCTAGACGAATCTGTTTTCATTATACTTGATCTGTACAGGCCTCAAGATTTGTCCATTGTGCATGACTTTCTTATTCCGAATTCTCAACTACTCCATATGTATACCTAAAACTTTTGCCTAGAGATGTTGTTTTTTATATGGATTTTGAGTTGTGAATGTCAGTGGGATGAGGGTTGGTATGTGAGTGTAGATGAAGAAAAGACACCAACACTCACATCCACATATTTCCACAATCACACACACATCCAGACCCTAAATTCTACAAGGGTCCTGAGTAGTTATCATTTATGTACATCTAACAAGGTCGTCATCTGATAAAAAATTCAAATCCAATCGGGATCATTATACGAAAATACCAAGCAAATACAGAAATAAGTCTATAAAAGCCTCTACATTATCTGTCTTTTTGTTCCAATGGAAATTCTGACAAGTCAGAATGATACTTTAAGAAAACATTTGAGAACATACTGAAACTTGGTTGCGTTCTAGCTTTTAGGATTTAATTAATTATTCTAGAATTTTACCAAGAAATATTACAATTGATAGTGGTTTTTGAGTGATGTACGCATTGTATTTCTTTCCGAATATCAAGCATGTACTATTTAACATACAGATCTGATTTCATAGTGTTCCATGATTCTGTGAATGGAAATAAAGGAAAGGAACATTTGAAGAGAACTTTGAATGAAAACAAAATTATGTTGAAAACAACTTTGAAGCTGTACAGATAATTCTTCAAATTAGAATCAGTAAACTGTCTATGCCGATGTTCGATAGAATAGAATGAAATGATGTAAGCCTTGTTTAATAATGAATATCAGAAACTACCATGATGTTGATAAACGATAAGTGGATAGAAAATACTCTCCTTAAAGTGCAAAAGTAAAGTTATCGAGAAATTTATTGACTTTATAGGAAAATCAATCATCTTCCACAAATGTAATAGACCAGCGTAGGATCATCTCTAGAGTAGATAGCGATGTTTAGTTTGAACCTTGATTTGCTTTCTAAATATCGTTTGAAATCTAGTATTTTCTCTGAAGTGAGGGTATTATGTTCTCTCCATCCATATTCGATTCATCTGCTAGTTAACACTAAGCAGAGATGATATCACTCATATAGTTGCTCGTATAAATTCGTACAGATAACGATGAGAGTATTTTCTCTTCATGTAGATTCTGATCATTCAAATTACTCTGCTGCAAGTATCACTGCTATATCGAAGAGTACAACGACTTCATATAAATCATCATTAGAACCTAAACCAATGTTAAAATCAGGTATGCTCTTGTGAATAAGTCAGTCTTTTTTCGCAGAAATTGCTCTGAACTCTATAATTCAAGTATTGCTCTATAACGCATCATCTTTATTTATGTAGTATCAGTCGATGCCAATATATTTTCTATTTTTATGCGATTTAGTGTATTATTATGCATTTATTTCGCCAATCGTCATCTGATATACTATTCACAGCGAGGCACCCAAATTATTTTTAGGAATTTTTCATGTGAGATATTCACCAGAGACTCTTTCATATGAAAAAAATCATATACTTTGAACAAGATACTTGCGGAATGAAATAATTATTTCTATCAATGGAAAATATGTGGTCAACTTTTGCTGAAAGTGCCTTCTCTAATCATCTCAGACAAAGTGGTGATGACGAGAGCTTACTATACGCTGTGGAATGTAAGAGCATTTTTATTAGGAAGATTATTGATATGCAAGGTGTCCGATATATAAATTTTCGGCACAACAATCAAATAGATTCTCTCTGTATCAATCAACTAGACTAATTTGTTTTCCTGTGATAGGGAGAAAAATCAAACCTTCTCATTAAATGACAGGCGATAAGGCATGATGTTTTGAGCTATTTACATTGGTTTATGGCTATAGATGAAGTAGTAAACTTATAAAATCTCATATTCAATATCACTAGTCGTTTCTTTCATAAGATCAACAAAACTATCAGATTTGATTTCATTAGCTTCCCAAAAAGTTTATTATTTTAATATCTTGGCTAGAATTTGCTAGAAAATATGTTAATAAACAAGTATGAATGAAAACTCTAGATATGAAAAGCTAATTTATATAGGAAAATCTTTCCAAACTCATAAGGCAATCAAACACGATAGTTTATTTAGAGGAATAAGTCGGTTATTAAATAATTCAAGATTTGTAGGTGTGAGCTTTGTTCTCATAAAAGTCACATCCACCAACGGCCCGAACAACAAACCAGTACAGACTGGAAGATGTTGGTCACAGATCCACTACTTCTTTTTCGTATTTCAAAGAATTCAATCAAAGCAAAGTGAAGAAACATGTGTACAATGTTACTTTAAAAAAGCAATCTCTCTATAATAGCAGTTCTTATATGTTGTTTGTCATCTCAATCTCAGCGTTTGCACTAACAGCTTTATTTATTGTGTTTATCTTCTTAGATCGTATTTCAACAAGAACAGGTTATTGTTTATCATATATGGATGATGATGTTCAACGTGATTTAACATCTAAATTATTCCAATGGAGTTGTCGACGATGTACATATCTTAACGACGAGTTGTCTCGCATATGTGAAATTTGTTCATTGGATAAAGGTACTTAGAATTATTCGACTATTTTCATGAAAAATTCTTCATCTATGTCCTTTTGTCGCCTTCTCAGATATCGAAATCAGTGAAAAAAATGAGCATAAATCAAGTCTGAATTAAAATAATGAGAGATGTTGTACAATGCAATCGAAAAAAGAACATTGGAGTAAATAGTGACAAAATTGAATCATTTGACAGCACTGCATAATACGAATGGTAATAGACATCCTGAGACCTCGTTAAATGCATTTGCGTCTGGATGAAGGTGTAAATGAATGGAAGCTTCACATTCATACTCGTGATATTAAGCACACAAAATCAATAGAATTTTGTACATATTTTTCATAATTGACAAAGTACTTGAAGAAGAACAGTAAGCACAGTAGACGAGTAGTGTCAAAGCTGAAAGTTAAATTCAATTTTTACTTCATTGTCTAGCTATTCAACTAATTAGAACTGCTTTGTTTTCATGCTAAGGTGTTGTAGCTCCTTCGTCAAAATGGATGCTCTATGCAAGTGTTTTTCGTGAAAATCTTGGATAGTTGAATTCAAAGTTAAACAAACCAATACTTGAGTTTTGACTTTTAAAGTTTTACCTTGAACCTTCTGACATTTGTGAAGAATATAATAAGCATGAATCGTGCATTCAAATTTGTAAGTTATATTCGATTCAGATTTCAACTGTCAAACACACTCATATTTTATGCTATGTAGACGCCACTGACGTAGAGACGATTGAAAATTGAAAATTTCGTTTAACCTTCAACTTTCATACTACTGGTTTCACCTTCTAATACATTTCTAATTAATTACATTATAGCATAACGGTAGATTGTAAAAGATTACAGTTTTCTCTTTACCGAGATTGCTTTACTCCTGTTTTATATTAACATAATTGCTGTATGATATAGAGATACGGATAAATTAGAGAGAAATATTGAATATTAATTACTTAGGACATTTCAAGGAAGAAAAAGCTGAAATTTCAATTTTTTTTGTCCAATACCTGGAAAGAAATCACTTTTAAAGTCAATTTCTCCTGTAAAACTTTCATAAAGATATATGATAATAGTATATCGATTTGATCAAATTTTGATAAAAATGGAAGCAAGTTTCTTTAAAAATCAACAAATTTACAGATTGCTTCGGTGAGCAAGTACTTGGTTTTGTTTTACTTAACTTTAAGATGTGAGAAGATAATCGTTCATTTTGTTTCTTGAACTAAAGATGCAAAGTTCCTCTATATATGAGGTCATAATGGTTTTACCCATAAACTATCGAACAAAAAAACTATTTCCATGTGTTCTCTTTTGACTGTTGAAGATTCCAGATCATCAGCTACTTGTGTTCTCGACTTATTCAATCTTTCATCAAATGCTTTTAAGTGCAGCACCGATATTAGATCAAAAATAGTTACGATTCGGTTGAATTTAAAATTAATAAAATTTCAAAAAAATATGTGTTCCATCCTGATAGCATTAACACGGATCTCCTAAACGAAATCTTTTTCTCTTCTCTGTTTATTCTACATTGTATCTGTTTACTCCCAAATTAATGTTAATTAAAAAGACGGTTACTGGAGATATATATTTTATTTGAATATAATTTACTATGAATTACTTTGTATATCAATAAAAACAATGTCAGTTTTTCGGTGCTAACTAATCATTTACCAAATTTGAGATAAATAGGTTGATAGAATGCCAGGTTCGTTAGTTATAACTAATTTTAGCAGATCTAACAATAATTTGTCTTTTCTGGGAAGAGGTAGTGTGAATAATGTGGAAGTCAGTTTAGTGATATAGCAGATGACTATTCTTAATGCTGATTTGTGGAAAGTTCGAATAGTTAACAAGTTAGAAAGAAGTCCTATACTTGCATTTACTTCTTACATCACTATCTAAATTAGAGAAGTACTGATGAGCGTATGCTTCGATTGACTCGTAGACTTCAGCATGAATACATAAATGAGTCATGCAATGAAACTAAATTAAAAATCTTAAAAAACGATCACTAAATCAGCAGCTATATATGAATTTTTACTGAAAAGAAGCATGCATCTTTGAACTTCCGATATTTGAAACTGCATTAGTATTCGTATCACTGATAAGCTGACAATTTCTTTTTTGCACTTAATTTGAACCTAAGAGGCATGCCAATGAAAAACTCAAGTCAAAATCTGTAATAAAAATGAATTTGAGATCAAACACATGCCATACAGAGTATGCAAAGGAAGCTTCTATAAAAGTTAATCAAAAAATTCATACTTTGATAAAAGTATTATCTTTTAAATTGAAAACTTCAATTTGAGGTAACAAATTAAATCAATACGATAAGACTAAATCACTACAAAGGAACAATCTAATTCTTTGACATACGAAGCTGATGAACTAGAATTGGATTTCGTATTTAAAATATTATATTAATGAACACCAAATAATTTCTATTCTAATTAGAAACCATTACTCACTATTAAAAGTCACTACATCTCACTACTATGACTTAAGAATGGAAGTAATGACCGGAAATAATTCAAAATTATGTGCAATAAGTAGAAGCCATTGCAAACTATAAAAAATCATTAGAAATAGGTGAAAAATCTCTCTGTGTTATAGAAAGCCTCTAGCAATAAGACTGAAATTTGAGTTCTATATCATAAATTGATAAAAATTAGATTTCAATGGCAGAAATGACTAGGAATCAGAGAAATTAGTCTGTGTGTGATTCGATTGATCCAAAGGTAATGATCGTTACGTGATAGTCGATTAGAGTAACCTTCAAGAGAAAATTTGATAAGATCATATAAAACATTTATACCTTCCTCCAGACAGACATCCATTACTTTTGTTAGTAGCGCTGATACCTGTTTTTGTTTCAAGTAAACGATCAAATGCTGAAATGTTATTGAATCTTATTGAAAATAGTACAACAAGGCTATTGTAAAAAGAATTATGGTCTTATATTGCAGATGCTTCGACTACGACTGCAGCAGCCGCACATGAAACAAAAAGAAGAATACCTTCCAGCAACTCTCGAGTAAATAGAGGTAGGACATTGTTGATAATTGCTTTTAATATGAGATTAATTTTTGTTGATGCTATTTATTTGATTACAATCACTGCCAGTTTTTAGTTGCACTGAATATATAGGAAAAATTCTACGGTTATATGATCATATTACGAACAATTTTTCCCGAGTATCAATAGTATTCCCATATGTAGTTTCTCAAGATTTTTGAGGAAATTCTACAGTTCAGTCGTCGAGTAGAATTATATGCCGTTGATGAAAATAAAATTTTTACTTTCTTAGTATGTCTATCAGTGTATGCTAGTGAAAACATGTGAATAATTTAAAAAAAATAAAATAAAACGAATCAATGTTTTAAAGAAACGTTGTACTCTCATATTGTCTCGAATAAGAAATATAGTTGGAGGCATTGACTTTCCACATGTTTGACTGAACCGTTTTTGACAATGTTCTCTCAACGCGAATAACATTATAAGAAATTTATTATCTCATTGAACATCAAGTAAAATTCAAAAACAAATTACGATTCTATGGTCACTGTAATCTGACACGGTACATATTTCTTCAAGTCACGAGAAGAGAAAAATCTATGATTTGAAATCAGTATATTTTAACCGATAGTGCATGTCTTCCCAGAAAATCTATTTAAATGTCGTATATGAAAGTATATTTAGTTTTTCTTCTTGGTTGAGCAACTCAAATCTTTATGAAATTTTAATGAAATATTGGAAGTTTATAGTTTCATTGATTATTTGAGTGCTTTAAGAGACTTTGAGCTTCCATGATTTATTTACACGTACAATTCCTTGAGTTTTATTGTTTTATCTATTTCAATCAGTGTCCAGACTCCATTGACATCTTTGAAACCTCCTAATTTCTCTTTTTTTTTTCATTGAATTTCGATGATTCACAACAGTTGTGAAGTTATCAATGTTGTTCATTACATATCATTCTAAAATACCTAGAATCTATGGTATGCATTATATAAATATATACTACCATTAGGAGAAGGGAAGTTTTTAGAATAAAAATCATTATAATTTTGATTTATTGATAAAAGTCAAAGAATGTGAGTTTTACGCTTTGGCTTCTCAAGAGGAAGCACTCACAAGTGTATGAATAGCATAAAAATAAGAATAGAATTTCTGCAACTTGGAAGCTTTATTTTTATGGTAAGTATGAGTGTAGTTAAGACTGGGCGTTAGCAGAGTGTAAACATCAACACTCCCATTCTCGTGCTATATCCATAATAAACTTGCATAGATATATATCTGCTCATGCTATGATGTGTTCTAGTGAATTAAAATGGAAGCTGTTTCAAATACTCAGTAAACATTTTTGTTTCTGTGATATTCTTATATGGTTTGATAGAAACTGTTAAGTTATATAAATCTGTGTGTTTTAATTTTTTTAATCGTTGTTTTAGAGAAAAATTTTAAACACTACCAGAAATATACTAAACAAACCGGCGTTCTTAATGCGAAAGAAAAGAATTCAAGTTATTTGAAATTATGTTTTCCTCGTATTTTCCATTGCTTAAGAAGCTTGCAAATAGATCGTTTCATGACATAGTCAGACAGTTATTTAACTTCATTTTTTACGCTACACGTTTATGTATTTTTACTTATAATATGATGAAGAAAAAGCAGAGGTGCAGAATATTTCAAAAATCTAAAAATTTTCCACCGCTCTATTTTGTTTTGGCCAGCGGATTTTTCGAAAATTTCTCTATTGTGTGAGTTTTTCAAAAAATTTCCCTTCCCGCGCGGGGGCGCGTGAGGAAGATTCTGCACCTCTGAGAAAAATGGTACCACATTCGTCTTTTCTCTAGCTAGCTATTTTCGAACAAGTACGCTTCAGTATTTAACGCTTATAAATGAAAATCAATATAAATTTCAATAAAAACTTTTTCATATTGTTTATTAGCTGTCTGAAATTTCTTCAAAATCGATTTTTTTGAAAAGTTTTAACTATCATAAATTTTTGAGACCATTGTTTCAAGGATTGATAGAATATTTGCATCCAAAATACAAGTAATTTATGACCCATTTTGAAACCGAATTCGTTGTTAAATAGGCATGCACCAAAACCAACACTTGTTTTGAATTTTGGGTTTTGAGGCTTTAGTTTTGATAAGGTATTGGTTTTGATATAGTTTTGGTATCGATAGTTTTGGTTTTGTTATGCTTTTGGTATTGAAAGTATTAGTTTTGACCGAGTTTTGAGTTTTCTTTTTGTTTTGTTTTTGGTTTTAAGGTACTCATGAAAAAAATTAATTATTATAAAACAGACCTATAATGCTTTTCTATAAACTCAAGTATATTTGTTCCTTTCAAAATGAACTTTTACCGTAATATTACTTATGAAAAATTCTTTCCCATAAGGTTCTATTCATCGCAAAACAACCAATTTTCATTAAATTGTTCAATTCTTTGTCCCGTAGAACGTTTGACAGAATTGGGTGTCTTCGATCGAATGTGCTAGAGCTTGTTAGTTTTACAATGAATCTTAAGAGTACGATGAAGGTTTTACTGAATTCTCATATTCGAAAAAACGTCTTCTTTTCTTAGTAACTGTACCGATATTGATATCACTCACTTATCGATATGCACATGTGCCCTTTCCTTTCTGTCCTTTCGGTCTCATCATCCTTTATTGCTCTGTCGAATGCTCAATGCTCTATATTTTCCTCTCTCCTGCATAAGAGTGTGTTGGATATGAGATACACACCCTATGAAGACGTGAGATATAGCTTAATAAACATATATACCATAGGTGGCTACACGCTACTCTTCCAGTTTGTTGCTATAGTAAGTGAATTTGATCGTTATATGAGTGGATATAAGATATCTATAGCAAGATAAAGTAAAAAATCCTTACACACTTCTACTAAGATGTCCATTCATTTGATACATCTTTATTGGTAATCTATTAAAATCTATTCATGAGTCTTTTAAATGGCACTATCTGGAAGAATAAATCTTTAATTTTGTTTCATATAGTTTTTATTCTTTATCTGACTTAATTTCATCTACATGTCATTGTTTAATTCAAAATTCACTGCACATGTCTTAGAATGACGAATATTTTAGAATAAATATGTTTTGAATTAGTTAACTATAAACTTAAGAATCGCTTCTGAATATACTACTTAAATGTACTCCCATTAATGATTTTATGAACATAAAGGTTAAATATTTTTCTATTAACAATGGTCATCTAAAGTCGTCACGAGGATCCTTCCTAGTTTGAAATTATTTAGTCAGATGGTGTGGGTGTGAGTGCGTCTCTGTTCACAACCCACACCCACAGCCCACACCCACACTCGCATCCGCTGGTTACAAATCAGATTTAGTCCATCTCTCATGGTTTATACCACTCAGATCGAGTTTCACAAAGATACCACGTCAAGACTTATATCCCTTCTTCAAAAGGCATATTACCTACACACCACGAGAGCACACCTGCGATACTAGTAGCATTACCTCCGATACTAGTAGTCTCCCTATCAATTGCGCTAGTGACGTAAATGTTGCAACTAGCCATCAATGTGATGATATTAACACTTCACGTGACCAAAATGCCCGTCTTGGTAATACTATTAGCGTCCCACTCAATGCTACAAGCATTCCGGTTGCTGCTGCTACCATCCGAGTATATCTTACTGGCCTCCAATGTGATGCTACTGGCATCGCAAATAATGCTACTAGCACCTCATTTCATTCTACTAACAGCCCCCCCTTGATGTTACTAGCACCCTAGTTCTTGCAACTACCATAACAATTGATGTTGTTGATATTCCAAGTCATAGTACCCGCCTTCCAATTGATACTATAGGTATCCCACTTAATGTTTATATCATCCAAGTTGCTGTCAGTGGCATCAATTGGGATGTTACTGACATCACAGCTGATTTCACTGGCATCCCAGTTTATGCAGCTAGCATCACACATGATGTTACCACCAGCCCAGTTGAAACTTCTTGCATTCCAGTTTATGTCACTAGTATTCCAGTTATTGCTTCTAGAATTCCAGTTGATGCCACTAGCATCTAGGGATGCACCAATCCCAATTCTAACCAATTCCAATTCTCGGGTTGGAATTGACGGAATTAGTTAGAATTGGAATTGGTGCATCCCTACTAGCATCCAATTTCACTCTACTAGCATTCCAGTTGACGGTTCTAGAATCCCACCTCATGCTTCTAACATCTGAAGTGGTACTATTAGCATCTCAGTTGACGCGTAACCCATCCCAAATGATACTAATAGCATACCAGTTGATGATAGTAGCCTCCCAATTAATGCTACTAGCTTCGCAGTTGTTGCTATCTCCAGCCTAGTTTATGCTATCGCCATCCCAATTCATTCTACTAGCATTCTGAATGATGTTACTAGAAATCCATGCTATGTTACTCGCATGCCAAGTGGTTCAAGTAGCATACCAGGTGGTTCTCTAAATAAGCTTCTAAGTTGTAGTTTACTTAGTTTGGAGCTCGCTTTCTTTTCATCTAGAAAATGCTATTTCTCAGTAAAAAAAAAACTATCTATTAGAAAATTTTCGAAAACCACCGATAGCAATCGATTTCTCAACTCTGAAAACGCTTTGTCAAGCTTTACAGCAGTAGATGTAGTAAATAACTCAACATTAATCATTCAGACGATATTGTTTTAACCTTGACACATACACACATAGCGTTGGCTAGAGTAATGAATCTTCTGTCAAATCTTACAGAATGAAAAAACTTGGTAAAATTTTGAAGGAACACAGAAAACTGATGAGCATAAGATGAGAAAGACTTATCATTTGAGATAACACTTCAAGCTCTACAAAAAGTTTCTCTACACTTATGAACTCGTATTTAATACAGAGCATTTACTTTTTCTTCTGAACATTCAAAGTTCTTTTCTTATAGACTAAGTTACGGGAAGTATTTTCTCATGTATGAGAGACCAAGATCTCTTCGACAATGTTGATTCATTTTCCTTCTTTATTATAGTTAATCCCAATATTCCGATCGATGCTCGATGGTCACGGAATGGAAAGACCGTTGCTGGAGGTAAAGGAGAAGAGGTTGCCACAAATCTACTCTACTGGTCTCACGGTCTATTCGTCGATGATGATCAAACGATGATCATTGCTGACTGCTACAATCATCGTATCGTTCAACGGAAGATGGGTGATACGAATGGACAAGTTGCAGCTGGTGGTAAAGGTCAAGGAAATCGATTGGATCAATTAAATCAACCAACTGATGTGTCAATTGACAAAGACACTGATAGTCTCATTATCTGCGATCGGGATAATCGACGAGTTCTACGATGGTCTCGTCGTAGTGGTACAAATCAAGGTGAAATTCTCATCGACAACATCAGCTGTTTCGGATTATTCATGGATGATCAAAGATATCTCTACGTCTCTGACTACAAAAAACACGAAGTCAGACGATATCAAATAGGAGACAAAAATGGAATTGTCGTAGCTGGTGGAAATGGCAAAGGTGCTGGTCTCAATCAACTCAACTTGCCGACTTACATCTTTGTTGATCAACAACAGACAGTCTACGTATCTGACAGAGACAATCATCGTGTAATGAAATGGAATAAAGGTGCAAAAGAAGGCATTATCGCTGCTGGAGGTCAATGCAGCGGGAATGCTTTAGCACAATTAAATGGCCCTAACGGACTCGTCGTCGATACATTGAATACCATTTATGTGGCAGATTCCGAGAATCATCGAGTCATGCGTTGGCCTAAAGGAGCAAAACAGGGTACTATCGTTGTGGGTGGAAATGGTCAAGGAACAGGAGCAAATCAGTTCAATTGTCTCGGTGGTTTGTCGTTCGATCGTCATGGCAACTTGTATGTCGCCGATGTAATTAATCACCGTGTTCAATTTTTTTCAATTCAATAAATTGTATTCGAATCGGAAAAAAATTTTGTTTTTAACATCTAATCACGCGCGACCAGGAACCATCCTGGTGAAGCTGTGGCGAGCGGAACGCTCGTACACGCGCGGGAAGACTCACATCTTGAGGGTGTGGGTGTGGGTGCGGCTGTGGGTGAGTGTGGAATTGTGCGTGGTTGTGGGTTTATGGGTGGGCATGGGTGTGGGTGTGAATGTGGGTGTGGGTGTGGGTGTGAGTATGGCTTTGTGGTTGGGTGTGGTTGTGGCTGGTGTGGGTGTAGTTCTTCCTTATTCATTCGTCACACCCCACCCACACCCACAGCCACAGCCACACACCCGCACCCACACATCCATACCCACACCCACACCCACCACGCCCACACTCACACCCACCCCACACACCCACATCATATTGTTGATAAAAATATTCAAATATTGAAAATATCGTTTTTGATAATGTATAACATGATATTATTTGATCTGTTCCACTAAGTAATCGATATATAATTTAATTGAGGTTGAATTATATATTGTTTTTTTTGACAGATATTTATATAAATATTATAAAATATTATAAATGGCGTCTATCATCTGTTGAAAATTGACATGTTAGTTCAACATAATTTTGTATTGTATCCAGCAGCTACTGGGACTTATTTTTTTGGGATTTATTGGAACTTTTTAATAAATCCCAGGATTTATTTCATTCTCAGGACTTATTTGGATCGTTGGGATAAATTCCGGGATTTATTGGATTTTTTTAATAAATCCTGGGATTTATTTCATTCGCGGAACTTATTCGGATCATTGAAATAAATCTTGGGATTTATTTCTCTATCGAGATTTCTTGTAGTTTTGAAATGAACCCAGATATTTATTTCAAGGATGGAATGCATTGGTGTTTTTAAGTAAATCCTTGGATTTATTTCGCTTTGAGTATTATTTAGATCACTAGGACAGATTTCGGAATCGATTTCTCCATTGAAACTTCTCAGTCAAATGGAATAATGGGAAACAAACTGTTCAAATTCATTATGATCTACAGTTGGAGCGTTTTGATCAGTAAAATTAATCTTTTTCAGTAAAAAAATCGTAAAATCATCACCAAAATGCATTTGAATTATATAGTTATTGTACCATTGCTAGCAAATTCATGGTCACCGTGTCTATCTTTCCAGAGTTTTCAACTAATTTGAATATGTTAATAGTTTCTAAAAAATGTACGATGTACTACTTAATCTTTATTTAGATGCAACCGTACCCAGATCGGAAAACCTGACATCAGATCATGCAGGATCTGATAATATCTTACCCTTTTAAGATTTTTTCTATTATCTTGTGAGAAGATCATATAATTTCATGTGTTCTTTTTTTTGAAGATTTCCTCAAATTCTTATCATAAGATGTCATCAAAAATCTTACATGATTTAAAGATTAAGAAATGTAGAAGTACACGCTAAATGTTTCTTGTGAGAACTTCTTAGATAATTTAAGATTCATGTGAAAAGAAACATACAACAGTACATAATGTAGATTCTGTCTGTTCTTATCTGATGGTGTATGGTCTCTCCTGTTCTTTAAATTATTCGAGAATTGTTGATTCGATTAGTTTTACTATGAAGAATAGTAGTTAAAAAAACAGGATTAATCTGTGTGCCTAGTTTGTTTTCGTACTTTTCTCTAGTGGCTATACTGAAAATCATAACTTTTATTTCTTATTTTTCTGTATTAATTATATAGAAAATGTTAATTTTCATTTCTGATTTTTCTAAATTGATACCAAAGAAAAAGGGTAATTTAATTTTAATCCTTCTATTTTTGATGATATAGAGAATCCTAATTTTCATTTGTTATTTTTTCATAGTGATAATATAGTAAATCTTAATTTTTACTTTATTTTTCTATATTTGATATTATATAAAATCCTATTCATTATTTTTCATTTTTCTATGCTGGTAGTATAGAAATTCCAATTTTTATTTCTTGCTTTTCTACTTTGGCAGTATAAGGAATCCTATTTTTACTTCTCATTTTTCTATATTAATAATATAGGAAATCTTATTTTTTAATTCTTCTTTTCTATATTTATAATATAAATAGCAGTTAGTTTTAATTCTTTTTTTTTCTGTATTGGTAAGGCATATAATAGTTTGTTTTATGGTTTTTATTTTCTATATTCATAATATAGAAAATCAGACTTTTATACATTTTTTCTATATTGATGGCATAGAAACAGTTAGTTTTCTGTCTTGTTTCTCTAAAATGATAACAAAGAAAATACTAATTTCTATTTTTTATTTTTCTGCATTGACAATGTAGCTAATAGCTGTTTTTATTTGTTATTTTTCTATATTCTTAGCATAAATAACAGTTACTTTTATTTATTATTTTTCTACATCAATAATAGGAGACTCTTAGTTTTCATTCTTTATTTTCCTAAATTGGTAGTATAGCAAGTCTTATTTATTATTTTTCATTTTCTATATTGATAATATAGAAAATAGTATTTTAATTTTTCTGTATTTGATAATATAGAAAATCCTAATTTTCATTTTTGATTTTTCTTTAGTGACAATATAGCAAATCTTGGCCTTCAGTTTTTATTTTTTTATTCTAGTAATATAGAAAACCTTATTTTTGTTCCTCATTTTCTTATATTAATAGGATAGAAAATCTTATTTTTTACTTTTTATTTATCTATATTGATAATATAAGTATCAGTTAATTTTAATCCTTATTGTTCTATATTAATATTATAGAAAATTTTAATTATTACTTAGGGCATACCAAAAGTAGTGAGGGAGATACTTTTTTTTCTTAAGCAGGGGTATAAAAAAATTTCTTTTTTTACCAATAGATAGAGCGTCTTTCGCTCTATTTTTCTATGCTATTTGATTACTATTCAACGGTAGAT